AAAAAAAAAAAAAAAAAAAAAAAAAAACAGCTCTATCACAAATGTGCATTACAAATAAATCAGTAGAAGCAACACTATTCTTAAGGTTATTTTAGAACTTTGTAAGAGTACATTCCCAAAAAGAAACAAGGGGAAATGAATAAGATCAGGAACACAGACGTAGTTCCAGAACATGAAACTGAGAATGGAAGTTCAGGAATCAATGTTGAATTGATGACTGACTGACTGACTTCTTAGCTGATGGACTAAGGCTTTTAACTCTATCAAGTCTTTATCAAGCTTCAGGGTAAAGACCCCATGGACCACTTACCTACCATCTCTTACATACTGTTTCCAAAACTGAATCTTAAAATCTATGCCCAAATCAAAATCAAGACCTTCTGCCATCCCACTGCCCAGACAAATCCAGACACATCAAAAAAGTTTCACCAGAATCTATGAAAAGGCCAGCACTGTTTTAGAAAAATGCCATTAAGATAATGTCTAAAATATCTGTTAAATGTCATAAGTAAATTAGCTTGAGACAGAAACTAAAGTACATTTATTGTTACATTATAAACATTAATACTACTAGAGATTAGCCCCACAATCTATCTGGATGCCCTTCGCTTTCACAACCCCTTCAAAGAAAGCATTTAAATAAATTTTATCCAGGGACTTCCCTGGTGGTCCAGCGGTAAAGAATCCACCTTACAATGCAGGGGATGTGGGTTCCATCCCTGGTCAGGGAACTAAGATCCCACATGTCGTGGAGCAACTAAGCCCACGTACCACAACTACTGAGCTCGTGCGCCTCAACTAGAGAGCCTGTGTGCCGCAAACTACAGAGCCTACGCACTCTGGAGCCCATGCACCACAACTAAAGAAGAGAAAACCACAACCAAGACACAATGCAGCCAATAATAAATAAAATAAATGATAAGTAAATCTTTAAAGAAATAATAAGTAAATAAAGTTTATCTGAAGAGATTCTGGGTGGTGTGACAAAATGGGACCTGGACTATTGCCCAAACAGAAGATTTTCTAGAAAAGCTACAATATGATAATAATAATGAGGAGGAGAAGGAGGTAGAGGAGAAGGAAGAATAAGGATAGAAACAGGAGGAGAAGGGGGTGCTATTCTCACTTTAAAGGCAATAGCACAGTAAATCAACTATACTTCAATAAAATAAAATTTTTTAAAAATAAAGGCAATGGCATATAAGGAAAATCATCACCTCAGAAGACCATACTCATAGAATCACACCTTTCCTTACTTTCATCTTTACCTTTACAGTCTTCTTCCATCCAAAACTGGTTTATTATAGGATATGAGGATAACGGGAAAAAAATACTACATACACAGGTTCACCTATTTCTCGCCGGCTTCTCTGATCAGTCTCCTAAGTCACTAACTGAAGATCCTACTCTCGTTGTCAGCGCTTTATGACAGCCCCAATCATCACGTTCTCAGTTGGTCCATCCTTCGATTTCATGTTGAAACTACTCCTTCCACAGTCATGAAGGACTCCTAACTCTGTGGTCTGTCCTGTTGAAGACTCCTGAGGAATCAAGTCCCTTCACTCTGAATCCACTAGAATATAAGCTTCCTGCGAGCAGAAGCCTGTTGGCCTTATGCACCGCCATGTCTGAGAGCCTCTCCTAGTGATTGGCACCCTAATAGGGATGAAAAAGAATATGTGGAGAATGAATCCACCTTCACTCACAGACATTATCTCAACACAGTCCTCTCGTCTATATGACCTGCCTTGACCACTTGCAATGTTTTGGTTTCTCAATCTTTTCATCTTTCTCTGCTCTCTTCCCAGTCTTTCATGACATCCTGACTTTCCTCCACCCCAGCTGGTTACTGCTCTCTCTTACACTCTAGTTTGCTCAGACTTTGACCCCACAAATGAAAGCGTCTCTCCTGTTTTCATTCCATCTTTTGCACAGTGTCCACAGCCACAGCCCTATCCTGCCTACTTCCCAGCATGGACTACTCTTTACGTGCAGACATCTTATCTCTAGGACATCTCAGCCTTCTCCTTCCCCCCAGCATAAACATTAGTATATTTAAAACAGATTTTCCTTTTTTCTTTCTCTTTGCATATGTGGAGAGGTGGGGGAGAGGAAGGAGAAGGGAACTTAGCCACAGAGAAGAAAAAATGTCACTCAAGATCATCTTGGACGGGGGTGGGGGGAGGGGGAACTGGATGAAGGTGGTCAAAAGGTACAAACTTGCAGTTATAAGATGAAGTACTAGGGATATAAGGTACAACATGGTTAATATAATTAACACTGTTGTACGTTATGTATGAAAGTTGTTAAACAGTAAATACTCGGAGTTTTCATCATGAGGAAAAAATCTTTTTCTATTTCTTTAATTTTGTATCTATAGGAGATGATAGATGTTCACTAAACTTACTGTGGTCATCAATGTAAGTCAAATCATACAGTACTTTAAACTCATACAGTACCGTATGTCAATTATATCTCAACAAAACTAAAAGGAAAAAAAGATCATCTCTGGTGACAAAATAATTTTTAAAATACATATATGTATGTATGTGTGTGTGTGTTTGTATACATTTCCTACCGGGAAGCTACTTATTCTTTATTTCATAAAGTGCTTACCTAAACCACGGAATGCTGCTGGTATGAGACATGGACTCCAAAATATAATCCCATCTAGAACCCCACTTGATATGTTTGCTTTCCTAAAAACAAAAATACAAAATCACATGACCAAACTTTAACTGACTTTTTACTGGTTATAATCCTAAAACAGACAGAAAGTTATTTTGCCTGTACTTTCTCTATTTCTTTACTGCTAACTTCATGGAATCAAAAGGGACTAGAAAATAATTTTAGCTTACTGCTGTTCACCAGATATAGCACCTTTTCGCTACTATTTTTCTGTAACCCTAAATCCACCCCATACTTCATTTCCTTTTGTCCAGACCACATTTTCATCTTAACTGCAACTTCATACCATGCTTACAAAGGTATACGTAATGTCACTGTAGTTTTGTTTGTAAATTTAAAAACGTAGAAACAACCAAAAATTCCCATCAGAATGGGAATAAATAAACTGTGGTAATCCATGCTAAGGAATACTACGTAACCATTAAAAGGTATGATGTGCATCTATAGGTGACAATATGTCTATGAAATAGCATTAAGCGAAAAAAGAAAGGTGAAAAGTATATGGTAGGACAAGTTATGTACAGCAAGATTCCATTCCCCCCACAAAATTATATTCATATTTTGTAGATGCAGACATTTTTCTGGAAGAAAAAATAATGGTTATACTTTTGGAGCGAGAGACTAGAAATTGGGGGGAGGGTACTAAAGGAAGGGCGAATTTTACTTATACATTTTCTATATGGTTTGCAGTCTTCACCACATACAAGTATTATCAATATTATTATTTAAATTGAACTCAACATTTGAACTAAAAGACAACTTGCATCACTGCAACACACAAAATCCACCTCCTGCAAATAGGTTTATTATTAGGGTATTTTGTTTAATTAGAAAACAGTATTCAATTTCAGTCATTATTTCTTATAGAATATTTTAATATTTTACATTTTTGTATGTTAAGCATTTTGAAATATTTTAGCAATGAATTTATAAAAGTTGTTTTAATATTGTAGTGCTCAGTACAGAACAAAACACAAGAAAATATAATCACCAGCTGTTTCTGCTGGTGTGCAGTCAAACTCAACCTTTCAATAGCTTTCTTATAAAATATCCCCAATAAATGATCTTAAGTGATAATCCCCAGTAAACATTTAAACCATTAATGCAGTATTATTACCCCTTAAATTAATGGCATGCTCTTAGCAAAAGGAAAACACTGGTACAAGTTTACCAAGTTATGTTTGAAATGACTTATTATTTAAAATTAGGTATCTTTAAGTGTTTTTTCTGAAGTTTGGGGGTGGGTATGAAGCAAGCCAATATACACTGCTTTAAAAAAAAACTGAAATGATGGGTTTTAATTGAACAATGGATTTTAGTTGACACCTGATGACCTGGTGATCATGGTTAACATTATCCATGAAAGGTCAGGTTGACATTATGTGTCTACTGATGTGAGCTATCACTTTTGTGGTCTTCCTGTCGAGAATCCATGGCCTGAGCCTGGTCATGAAGAACCATCAGACAGACGCAGGTTGATGGTCATCCTACAGACTGTAAGGTCTGTACTCTTCAAAAATTTTAAGAGGGACTTCCCTGGTGGCGCAGTGGTTAAGAATCTGCCTGCCAATGCAGGGGACACGAGTTCGAGCCCTGGTCCGGGAAGATCCCACATGCCGTGGAGCAACTAAGCCCGTGCACCACACTACTGAGCCTACGCTCTAGAGCCCGTGAGCCACAACTACTGAGTCCACGTGCCACAACTACTGAAGCCTGTGCTCTAGAGCACTTGAGCCACAACTACTGAGCCTTCGTGCCACAACTACTGAAGCCTGTGCGCCTAGAGCCCATGCTCCGCAACAAGAGAAGCCACCACAATGAGAAGCCCGCACACCGCAACGATGAGTAGCCTCCTTTCGCCACAACTAGAGAAAGCCCACACACAGCAATGAAGATCCAACACAGCCAAAAATAAATAAATAAAAAATGAATAATTTTTTTAAAAAAATTTCAAGAATATGAAACACAAGGAAAGACTAAAGAACTGGCCCAGTTTGGAGGAGATCAAAAACTAAACATAACATGTAATCCTGGATAGGATAGTGAACCAGAAAGGAGAAAAGTGACATTGTTGGCCAGCTGGTGAAATCTGAATGGATGCATGTGAATCAGATGGTAATGTAATGCCAATATTGATTCCTGGTTTGCACGGTTGTATGCTAGTTATGTAGGAGGGTGACCTTGTTTTAGGGAAAGATACTCTGGAGGGTATAGGGGTAATGAGACAACATCTAGCTCTCAAAAGATTCACAGAAAGACTAATGATAATGGACACACACAAAGAAGAGTGAACAATGGAGCAAATGAAGTAAAATGTTAACAATTGGGATGTCTGGTTAACAGAACTACGGGAGTTCTTTGTGTTATTCTAGCAATTTTTCTGTAGTATGAAATTGTTTTGAAATAAACTATTTTTTTAAACCTATAAGAAACTCTGAATTTATAGAACTGACAAATCCAGGGATAAATACTCATTGTATGAAAGGATTCATCTTAGCCATTTTATTAAAATATTGTTCCTATACTAAAATGTGACTTAACTTTTCAAAATTTGAATTGCATGCATCTCTTCACCAGACTGTCCATCACCTTAAGCAAGTAAACTCATATTAAGCCTTTTAAAAAGGAGTGAAGGGGCTTCCCTGGTGGCACAGTAGTTAACAATCCGCCTGCCAATTCAGGGGACACGGTTCGAGCCCTGGTCTGGGAAGATCCCACATGCTGCGAAGCAACTAAGCCCGTGCACCACAACTACTGAGCCTGCATTCTAGAGCCCAGAAGCCACAACTAATGAAGCTCGCGCGCCTAGAGCCTGTGCTCCACAACGAGAGAAGCCACCGCAATGAGAAGCCTGCACACCACAACGAAGAGTAGCCCCCACTCACCGCCAACCAGAGAAAGCCCACACGGAGCAACGAAGACCCAACACAGCCAAAATAATAAATAAATAAATAAAATAAAATTTAAAAATATATATGTTTAATAAAATTTAAAAATTAAAAAAAAAAGAATCCACCTGTCAATGCAGGGGACATGGGTTCGAGCCCTGGTCCGGGAAGATCCCACAGGCCGTGGAGCAGCTGAGCCCATGTACCACAACTACTGAGCCCACGTGCCACAACTACTGAAGCCCACGCACCTAGAGCCCATGCTCCGCAACAAGAGAAGCCACCGCAATGAGAAGCCCGAGCACCACAATAAAGAGTAGCCCCCGCTCGCCGCAACTAGAGAAAGCCCGCACACAGCAACAAAGACCCAACGCAGCCAAAAAATAAAATAAATAAAAAGGAGTGAAATAAGTGAGGGAAATTAAGAGGCACAAACTTCCAGTTGCAAAATAAATGAATCACGAGTATGAAATGTACAGGGTGAGTAACATAGTCAATGATTATGTAATACCTTTGTATGGTGACAGATGGTAACTAGACTTATCATGGTGATCATTTTAAAATGGATAGAAATATTGGATCACTATGTTGTGTAACAGGAACTAACATAGTGTTGTAGATCAATTATACTTCAAAAACAAACAAATAAACCCATAGAAAAAGAGATCAGATTTATGGTTACCAGAGGCGGAGAACGGAGAGAGGGAGAATTACGTGAAGGCAGTCAAAAGGTACAAACTTGCAGGTATAAGATAAATAAGTACTAGGAATGTAATGTACAACATGATCAATAGAATTGACACTGCTGTATGTTATATATGAAAGCTGTTAAAGAGAGTAAATCCCAAGAGTTCTCATCACAAGGAAAAAGCATTGTTTTGTTATTTCTTTAATTTTGCGTCTATATGAGATGATGGATGTTCACTAAACTTACTGTGGTCATCATTTCATGACATAAGTCAAATCATTACGCTGTACACCTTAAACTCATACAGTGCTGTGTATCTATTATATCTCAATAAAACTGGAAGAAAAAATAAAATGTAAAAAAAATGAGAGAAACTTTCAAATATGCACTATGAAGTTTGGCTTTTAAATACAAAGAGAGCCTAGAAAATCTGCAGTTGTTAAATCAAGTAGTTTTTGCACCAAACATTGCCACCTGCTGGAAATAACAGTCCACAACACATACTACTCCTCCATAAGAAAATAAATCGTTTTAAAATCCTAAGGTACGAGCTTCCCTGGTGGCGCAGTGGTTGAGAGTCCGCCTGCCGATGCAGGGGACACGGGTTCGTGCCCAAGTCCGGGAAGATCCCACATGCTGCGGAGCGGCTGGGCCCATGAGTCATGGCCCCTGAACCATGGCAGCTGAGCCTGCACGTCCGGAGCCTGTGCCCCGGAGACGGAGAGGCCCCAACAGTGAGAGGCCCGCATACCTCAAAAAAAAAAAAAAAAATCCTAAGGTACATTTGAGACAAAATGACAAATGCAAAAAGATAACTAAATGGTGGAACCCATTTTTTTAATCCATTTAATATTAATGAAGTATTCTACATCCCAGAGTTTCAAAATCTTTTATAAGACATAGCAGTTGTCATAAATGCATACAAGGTAAGCAGGTCTTTAATGCTATTTATAATGAAGTCACAAGAAGCAAATGTAGAAATATAGACGAGAATTCTTGATTCAGGACACAGCACATGATGGGTTTCACTCGGTAAAAATACAGGCAGGGAATCAAAGAATCAAGCTGGCGGGTAACTACAGCTTCTTTTAGTCTAGCTGTTTTCAACAGGGGGAGCAGCACCCTCTAGGGGGCATAATGAAAAGGTGTGGGGATGCTACTGGTATTTAGCAGCATAGTATTGAATAGAAGGCCAGACGTCCTGCTTGGCACCAGGAGACCCACACAAAGAATTGAGAAGAACTTCTAAAAGCCCCATCCAACATTCATGTGAGTGAAAAACTGCTTATGATTATCTGCGCCTAGATTCTAACTTCATTTTACAGATAAAGTATTTTTACATAGTTTTAATATACATTGATTTTTCCCCCAGCAATGCAACTACCATGTAAATTGAGGGAAAATGGTACTATGTTTGGCTTGAAACTTCACCAAA